TATAAACTCTTGTAAAAAGTACCATCTCAGGGCAAGAAACTATAAATATTGAGCATACACATAGCAGTGAGGAAGAGATAGGGTCCTGAGTTGAAGAAACTCTGTTTTGTTTGAAGGATACTATATATGTTAATTGCTCATATACTATAAGCCAATTATTGCTTATTATTATAGATATTATTAAAAATATAGAGGCTGAGTATTATGAGAGGGTATAGAAGGAGAGCTAACCTAGTCCTAGCAGGTAGAGGAAAGACGTTGTTGGCAACATGACTTTAAGCTTCCACAGTGAGTGGAAGTTAGCCAGGCCAGAGTGGGGTAGACGGCTAGCAAGTATTCTTGTCCAGGGAATAAGCATGGCAAAGACTTTAAAGCTATAGAGAACTTGGCCTACTTAAGGAACCAAAGCAAAGCCAGTACAGCTTGGGAAAACAAGAGGATAGCAATGAAAAATTCAGTAGGCTTAAAATTTACAAGGTTGCATAGTCCTACTAAGAAATTTTTTCACTGTATTCAGAATATATTGAGAAGTCATTGAACAGTTAAATATAGGAATAACAGAATCAGATCTATGTCTTGAAATACCTTTCTAGCCTCTTTGCCATGTGGGTAACAGACCATTAGGAGACAACTGCAGAATCCACACAGAAATAAAGGTATGTAGATTAGGTATTGACTTAACCAATTGGCTTGTAAAATGGGAAAGAAGACAGGAGAATACGGAATTTATCAATAATGACACTTAGATTCCTAGCATGAAGAATCAGATTGATTTTATGAGCTAAAAGCAGCACTACCAAAGGGAGAACAACAGCAACAAAAAACAAAGCTTTAACAGTTGTTTTGAAGCAGTCATGGAAATCACTGATTCAGAATGGTCCATTGAGACTTTAATGTGAAAGGAGAGCTGAATATATGAATCTTATATAATTAACAGTCTTGTCTGAAGAGATGAATAGCTGGAGAGGTGTTTACTGACTATAAATCAAGGCAGTGGATGCAACTGCTTAAGAATGACATAGCAAGAAAATAGGAACTAAGCTGAGTCCCAAGGACTTTAGATACACAGACAAACTATAAGCATGGCTTAAGAAGTACCTTATGTAGAACATCAATAACCATAGATCCCTTTTAGAGAAGCTGTGAGCTCAAGAGCTAAAGCAGAAAGGACTGAGTAAATGAGAAGTAAACAGGGAAGCAAACATCATTCTTAAGTAGCTTAACTCCAAATAGGAATGAAAGGTGATTCTGGGGAAAAAAGTATGAGAAGGAATTCTTCTTCTTTTTTTTTTAATGGTAAGATATGAGATATCAGAATGTATATAAATACTGATAATAAAGACAGAGAAGACGAAGAAGTGAAAGATACTAAGAAAAAGTGAGATTACAGAGTAAAGTCTAAGAGAGAGCATAGAGAGATGGAATTCTAAACACATATAACAATGTTCTTTATATAAAACAATATTTCCTTTATTATTTGGTGAGACAGATAAAAAGAGTATGGTAGAGGTGGTGATGAATCCTGAAGCTCTTGTATCTGGGGCAGTGGTTAAGAAATACGATACAAAATAACAAACAGATATAAACTCAGAGCCTTGAGTAGAACCCATTTTAATTACGTTTCATCAGTTTTACAGTAAATCCTTGAAATCTGAGGTGATACATTTCTAAGAAAATGAAGAGAAAGGTGAGTGGAAAGGAGGTAAGTGGAAAAGATGAAAATAGTTACTGCAGAAAACAGGACAGAGATCAGTGATTACACAAAGCCAATAACATTGCCAGGTGGGGTTGCAGATATGAGACCACTGAAGCTCAGTTCGCTCTCCAAGGCACCTTGTCTAAGGTTTCACTTCTGCACAATCACTACAAATCCATGCTCTGTTTTAACTGACTAGCAGTTGACTTTTACACAGCAACATTAAGTACTCAGTACCTGAAGAGAAAATATAAATAGTTTAATGAGGGTCAGAGAATAATCAGGGACCACAAAGGAGTGGAGGTAAGACCGTTTTAGGTGCCTACAAGAGTGATCTTTTTTTTTTTTTTTAGGTGCTCAAAACATTACAATGATCTTGACATATCATACACTTGATTCAAATGGGGTATGAATTCTTATTTTTCCACGTGTATAGATAGACAAGGAAGGAAGTGAAGTAAGTACGGACCAGGGCCAAGAGGAATGGAATGCAAAGGTCAATGAACTAGAAGTTCTCAAAACACTGAGGAAGGTTTGCAGTGGAAGTGTTTTAGCAAACAAACCCAAAATCACCCGGAAGGAGAAGCAATGGTCCAAAATAAAGCTTTAGGGAAATAACAATGTAAAAATGATGTAATAGTGTAAAAATGATAAGAAAAATGCTCTATAAGTAAACTATCTTTTAAGCAACTTACTGATACCAAGTACAAAAATTTCAATACTGATTGACAAACTAAGCATTCTAAAAACAATGACTTTTTGTTTTGTTTTGTTTTGTTTTGTTTTTTACTGTGCTGAGAATTGCAGTCTTCCACTGAATTATTTACTTATTCCCAGAACTTTTTATTTCTATTTTGTGACAGGGTCTCACTGTTAAGGCTGGCCTCAAACTTGGGATCCTCCTGCATCAGCCTCCTAAGTTGCTGGGATTATAGGCATGTGCAACCACATTGGGCTTAATAACAATCAGTTGTAAGACCTAATGTAACACAAGTAGAAGTACTCACATAGCATATTTGATACAGTGCCCAGTCTCAATCTGATTGAACCTATTCACCGCTGCAGATAGTGTTCTACTTCATATAAAATCAGAATAGTGTAACTGTAATAGTGTAAAATATTTCACTTTATATAAATTTATATAATAAACATTAGCATTTGAAGTAGACAAAAGTGTTCTAATGTTCTAACAATGTTCTCAATCTAGCCCTTTAAATGCCTGACTAAAAGCTGACTTAGTAACTTCCTTTTATGCCTAATTATCAACTTTAAACATAATTTCATGGGAATCTACTACTTAAGAATGTGAAGGAAAAACAATTGTCCAAATTTTATACTTTGGGTGATCCAGAAAAACTAACTTTCAAAAGTTGATGGCCTGGGTGATATGAGAAAAACCATTTTTGAAGAGTAGTTTTTCCCTTATGGTTTGGGACTTAAAGATATATCTAAATGAGTCTGATTCCTTTACCTTTTTTAAGAAAACCAGCTACTCCCAAATTTTAAGGAATAGGTTATCTAGCATAGAATGAATATTAACATTCTTAACATATTTTTCAAAAAACAGAATTCAATCCTTTCTTGTTTTTTTAAAGAGAGAGAGAGAGAGAGAGAAAATTTTTAATATTTATTTTTTAGTTTTCGGTGGACACAACATCTTTGTATGTGGTGCTGAGGATCAAACTTAGGCCGCACGCATGCCAGGCGAGCACGCTACCGCTTGAGCCACATCCCCAGCCCTGAATCCTTTCTTGAAAATTAGAATCTAAATAATTTCATAATCACTCAGAAAATGAGAATCCTGCAACACTCTATGCTAAGTTGCTAAATTCAGCTTTCAATATTAAAAAAAATTTAAAAAGGAAAACTTAAAAACTGAGCATCATACCAAGCCTGGCATTCAACTCCATTACATGCTACATATACCTTACCTAAAATGCTTAGGATCAGAAGTGTTTTCAATTTTGGAATATTGAAATATATGTACCTTTTCTTTCAATTCTGTGCTCTGTGTAAAAATGATTGGTAGGAGCTATATAAAAGAGACTTTCAGACAGTAAGTAAAATTAAAAGTAAAAATCATTCCACAAATAAAGAGTCACTATCAAGACAATCGAACTAATGGATAACAACATCTCTTTTATTTAATAAAAAGCAAACATGTAACTGTACCTTCAAGGACTCCCACGGCTAGGAATCTTCCATAGAACAATTCTACCATAGGGTTCTTTGGCTTCTCTTCATCCCTAAAGCATATTAAAAAATACAAAAGTACTTATAATTTTTGTATCTACAAATAATAGAGAAAACATTAAAATACATGACAAGATGATAACATTTCATTTATGAGGCTATCACCACACATGGCTCTGTTATTTATCATATGACCTTAGGCAAAGTACTTAAATTTATTCTTCCATTTCTTCTCTCAACTAAGAACCTCATGATACTGTTATAGGGGATAATAAGAGCTACTGCATGAAACAAATTTAGAAGATAACCTGATAGCCTGTGTTCATGAAGAGCTTCCTCATTCTGTTGTCACACATTTCAGTCTTGCAATTTATGACTAAAATATAAGGTTACGTAGACTTCTTGGGAAGTCTTTTAATCAGTACAGATTTCTACCAAATTTTAGAAAGTTCTTTCTACATATACATAAAACAGTGCATATAATCTAAAAACAATGGCTCTTACCAAGGAAGGACAAAAACACCATATCAGTCAGAGGAACTCAAAGCTACCTCATCCTTTTCTCAAGTTTCATGTTGCTAGCAAATTAGTCTTTTGTTAATTTCCCAAATTTTTTAACATGTGAGGTTTGTTTTTATTTTTATTTTTGCTTGAAACAAAAAAAAATTAACAATTTTTAAATTAACTTTTTAGGTTTGTACTATATGGCCCTGAAAGACAAAGTTGGTCTTGGCCTTACTGTATAAAATGTGTGTTGTAGTCGCATATACAAAATTATTCATTAATTATGTATTTAAATGAATACAACTGACTTGTGAAGCACTGTTTTTGAAAAGGGCGGGGGGATACTGTGTGCCTCTGGGTAAATGCATTATATGGGTCATCATTTAATATTTAGAATAATGGTAGTAAATCCTTCACTTAATCCTTACAATAATTGAATTAGCACTGGTTGATCTTTAGTGCTATTCAAAATACTTGGTGGGCTCTTCCCTTTCAGGTAAATGTAAACGTACCACCTGTATATTTTAATCATTTATATGTAGCCATGAACATAAAAGTATACATATTTGTTTCTTTTTCTTCATTTTTAGCATTTTTTAGGATAGTTATTATTCCTTGTCTTGTCTTTTAAGAATTAGTGTTTTTGTTTATTTTGGTTTTCTTTTGTTCACTCCTCTTTTCTATTTTGTCCCACAAACAGTAAGATTCTCTTCTTCCCTCTTTCTCTCTTTGTTCTTTTTCTATTTTTTTCTCTTCCTTCTATACTCATCACTTGCTACACCTCTTCTGCATTCTCTCTATTCACATTTTGGACATTCTAAACTTTCTTTTACCTCCCTATCACACCTTACTTTCTTTTAATGAACTGTATTTTTTAAAAATTTATTTATTACTTTTAGTTGTAGTTGGACACAATGCTTTTTTAATTTTATTTATTAATCTTTATGTGGTACTGAGGATCGAACCCAGGGCCTCCCAGGTGCTAGGCAAGCATTCTACTGCTGAGCCACAATCCCAGCTCATGAACTGTATTTTTAGAACAATTTGGTTTATATAACTCCTGCCCAAGCATTCATGCTGTTGCAGTTACTATAAATAGTGTTAGGAGAACTGGTTATCCATATGTAAAAAAATGAAAATAGACCCTTATCTCTTACCCTGAACAAAAATCAACTTGAAATTGATCAAAGACCTAGGAATTATACTAGAAACCATAAAATTCCTAGAAGAGAATACAGATAGGGTCAACACTTCACCATAAAGATGCAGACAACAATTTTCTCAATAGGACCCCTGAAGATCAGGAAATAATGTCAAGAGTTAATCAATGCAATGGTATCAAGTTAAAAAGTTTCTACATTGCAAAGAAAACAATTAGGAATGTGAAAAGAGAACCTATGTAATGGAAGAAAATCTTTGCTAGCTATTCTTCTGACAGACAATTCACATCTAGAATATATAAAGAATTCAAAAAACAGCATTTAAAAAAAACCCAATTAGTAAAAAGGGCAATGAACTAAACACACACTTCTCTAAAGAAACATAAATGGCCAATGAATCTCCCTATAATCAGAATGGCAACCATCAAGAATGCAAACAGCAAACCCTGCATGGTGGCATATGCCAATAATCCCAGCAGTTCAGAGGGTGAGGCAGGAGGACTGAAAGTTCAAGGCCAGCCTCAGCAATTTAGTGAAGCCCTAAGCAACTTAAGGACACCTGTCTCAAAATGTTTTTAAAAAGGCAGGAAGAGGCTGAGGATGCAGCTCAGTGGTAAAGTGCCCCTAAGTTCAATCTGCAATATTATAAAAATAAAAATAACAATAATAAATGCTGGAGAAGATGTGGAGAAAAAGGAAAACTTTTACACTGCTGTTGGGATTATAAATTAGTACAATCACTATGGAAGTCAGTATGGACGTTCCTCAAAAGACTAGGAATAGAACCAATAGACCTAGCAATACCACTCCCTCATCTTTATCCTAAAAAATTAAAGTCACCATACTATAGTGATATATGCATATCCATGTTTATAGCAGCAGAATTCACAATAGCCCAACTATGGAACCAGCCTAAGAGTCTGGCAATAGATAAATGGATTAAGAAAATGCAATATATACACACAATGAAATTTTACTCAGCCATAAAGAAAAATGAAATTATGTAATTTGCAAGAAAATGGATGGTTTTGTGTTATACATTATGTTATACAAAATAAGCCAAACTAAGAAAGTCAACGTTCATGTTTTCTCTCATTTGTGAAAGCTAGAGAGGAGACAGAAAAAGAAAGATGGCTAGGCATCTCATGACAATCAAAGGGACATTGGGAGAACAGAGGAAAGGGAGGAAAAGGAAGGGAAGGGAAGGGAATGGAAAGGAAAGGGAGGGGAGGGGAGGGGAAATAATAAAAAATGATATTTGTCAAATTACACTCTGATATTGTGTGAATGTAGGAATACGTAACATCAAATCCCACCATTATGTACAACATAATCCCAATACGCACAAACTTAAAAATATGGGGAAAAAGGGTGACGAGGACCCAAAAATACATCACAAAAAGTAAACAGATAAGGAAGCAAGATCTGAACAATCAAAATACACTTACCCCTTCAGATGGAATAAGAGTTCAGAAACAGTAAATTGGAAGCAATAGACACAAAAAGCAACTGGGAAGTCATGTACTGGAGAAAGGACACTTTATAAAATACTAACAGAAAATGTGGTAAGATCTGAGAGTAAAAAACTATGAGTTCCAGGGTAAAACATTCAAAGAAGTACTGAGAGTACCTCAAGGAGATTCAGTTATCATAGATGGGAACACAGGTACTATTCATACTCTTAGTGGAACATGTGCAAGGATTTTTAACATTAGATCTCTAAGGAAAAGTATAAGAAACGTGAGCTTTAAGCCAGAGTAAATAACCACAGAGTAATTCTATACAAGGTTGTCTTCTTGGTCTAACAGTACAGTAACCCTGGTGGAATTCACCAACCAAGAGAGGTGAAGACAGACAGAGTGTGTCTGAATACTAGATAATTTGGATATCCGAACTCAGATTTCACTAACCTTAATTATGAAGTACCTAACAAAAGAATAGGTATAAGCAAGGAAAAAGCCAAAGTATAAGCAAGAATCAAAGTCAAAGAACAAGAAGATCTTCATATCCACCAAGAAGGGATTGTTCTGCATGATACAGCTGTCAAAAATTTAAGCCAAGTCTGCCTAAAAGAAAGGAGAAAAACAAGTGTGCATGCACACGCGCGCACACACAAACCATACACATATTCATACACACACATATATAAGATATATAAATGTAGCTATACATATATACACTTACAAACTGTAACACATACACATACACCCAGAAAAAGGTGTAACAGAAAGAAATATACTCCAAGCTTAGTACATTCAGAATGTAAGGAAAACATATATCAAAGAGATAATGATCTTCATGGGATGCTGGGAGTTAGGTTTCAGAAACAGCAAAAGCAAATTCAGTTCAGGAATCTTACGGGGAGATTTTCCAGATGAAACTAAAATAAAAGAGAAGACAGATCAACCTCAGAGGGAGGGTTCACAGGCCCAAACAATTGCACAGCAGTACTGGTAGCCATCATGGCACAAAAATGAGTTATCAGACAAAGTGTTCATTCATTGCAGCAATGACAAAGGACAAACTGGAGCTCCCAAGGAAAATGCAACTTAAGAGTTTCATGGACAAAAATGAAGGACACTTACTGGTCCAAATTGCCACATCATAAACTTCTAAATAGTCTAGAAGGAAAGTAGAACTCAAATGCCATATTACGTGATAGACAATTTGCAATGAGTGGAATTTTGTCACCTCAGATATTATATACTTGGAACCAGATTATTCTCTTGAGTAACTTCTTACAATTTAGTTTAAGTTAAGAGAGCTGTCTGCTGTCAACTGGCCTTCAATGACTAGCATCCTGATGGAAGTGAAATTAACACAATTGTCTGAGCTAAGTTTCTGCTACAATCTTTGGTAACAAGGTAAGAGACTAGGGTTAATCATATGCATTCTAACAATGCCCTAAAATCTAAAATTAAGGCACATGTCTGAAATGTAAATTTAAGGTATGTGCAATTCAACATGTGAAGCACAGAAGGACTACATATGTATAAATGATTACAGGCTTCAGATTAAAATCAAAACTCTGTTCAGGCATAGAATGACATGCTTATGGCTAAGATGATACAAAATAAGAAGCTGGGAAATGAGTTATCTTCTTTATGTGACTTGCAATTATAGGGCAAAATACTCTGATTTCTAAGTATAACTTCTCAAATTTTACATTAAAAAAGGGATGTGATATGGAAGCTTAGTATTTCCATGGATTTTGGCAGCAAAGTGGGGGAGCATCTACATTAAAGTTCAGAAACATCTCTTCGTTATTAATACTGCATGACGAGAATATCTTGAACCTTAATCTCATTGCATATCATGTTACCATGAACTTTACTGGGCTGTAAGAGTATCCATAATTTGAAAACAGGAAAAAAGAAACAGAAGAGAAGTTTAAGCATGGGATTTCTCTCTGTGTTCTACATATTCTACGTATAACTAAATCTGATAAAGTTCGTGTCAGAGCCTGTGATGACAATCTAAATAGTCCACTGGTGTTCCAAGAAAAAAAAAATTAAGGAACAAACGGTTGATATTTGGAGAATGGCCTAATGAGGGTAGGGACAGGTTTGCCCTAAAAGTACTGACTTCTCTTTCAAGGAGGCCAGTAAAATACTTTAAATAACCAAGGTTTTAATAGTTAAACCTAATGGATAAAGAATAAGTAGTAGAGGATACTGAGGAGAAAGTTTATACTCCTGTACACAGGTTGCCATTTGAAAAAACTTTATCAGAGTAAAGTCTTTTTAATTTCTCCACCATTAACCCATTACTTTACCACTACTCCTTATGACAAATGATCTTTGAATCTAAGAAAAAGAACTGAGTATGTAAGACTGGCTCTCTCAAGAACCACTTTGTAGCTCTTCCTGACAAAATTCTGATCTTATATTGGAAAATGAAAGCAACTCAAAATTTGCAATAAATTCCAGTTTATCAATAATACAGATAATATTGGGACTTCGACAAGTTTATCTTGGTTTCCTGTTTCTTTGTTGACATGGAATACAAATGAGAAAAAGTCAAGTCCTATTCATTCACCTCCTAAATTCCCATCACTAAACTTTATGGTAACTTACGTCTCCTCTTCAGCTTTCATTTGGAAGGCATCTTCTAACCAATCTAATAATTTGTGTGTAAACTCGCTCACATCTTGCTGTGGAAAGAAAAAAGTCTTGTTGATATTTTAGCCTACTAATAAAAATAATAACTTTTGCAACATAAAACCTATAGCCAGTCACTGAAATGTATAATACCAATTCCTCACAAAAGTATCACCAATTCCAATGAACACTGGTAATTTAACATTTAAGGGTATGAAATCATAACTTGAGGGAAAAAACACAATCATTGTTACTAGGTTTCAATTTAGGAGAAAAAAATACATATGTGTGTATGGATGTATACACACATATACACACACACATAAAAGCATGCCCAATGGAACTTCGAAGTGAGTCTTTGTAAAATGAAACTCATATTACCAAAGGTTCTTCATTTTATAAAGCATCTTAGAAATAAGAACTTGTGCTTCTTAAGAATTCAGTTTTTTAATTCAACTAATACATACAACTTTTTAAAGCCACAGCCACCTGTACTAGAAGACGTGTTTACTTCAAGAAATTAAGTCCAACTAACCACTAACAAGAGTTCATGATCCTATGAACTTCAAACTGATACTCCATTCAGATCCAGTACATATGTCAATTTTGACACCTCTTTCTTTGATCCTTGCTCTCCTAACATCGAAAAGTAAGAATATGTGGTGGCAGATGTACTAATCTACTACCATAACTCTTTGAACAACATTAGCTGGAAGACAGAGGAACAAGTTCACAAAGAACATAAGGGAAGAAAATAAAACAACCCTACTAAGACTGCACAAAAACAGATGAATCAGCACAGGGCACCTGCCTTTACTTATCTAAACAGCCTCAACTATAAAATGAACTATCATATATTTTTCCAGCTAGTCTTTTCGAAGAGAGTCTAGGTCAATATATTGACCTGAAAAATATTGGCACTAACATCTAGAAGTTAACTGTTTAAGTAAATTGCTCCAGAAACACGGGGAGGGTTGGTTCCCTTCCCCCAAAATTCCGTTTCCTTCCTTTCCCTTCTTTTCCGTTGGCCAGAGAATTATATAATTGTTTAAAACCTCAGAATAAGGAATATGGGTCTTTGTAGGTATAATTAAGAATCTCAAGATGAGATAATGGTAGTAAGAGTAGATTCTAAATCATTGGATTTTTAGAATGGATATTCCTGTGAGAAATAGAAGACATGACACAGACCCTCCAGGTAAAAGGACATTCAAAGACAGACAGAAACTGAAGCTATCCTGCCACAACCCAAGGGACACCAGGAGTCACCCGGAATTGGTAGAGGCAAGGAAGGATTTCCCCCTAGAACTGCTGCAGGGTACATGGCTCTGCCAGAACCTTTATTTGGGATCTCTGGCCTCTATAATGAAATAACAATTTTCCTTTTTCTTTCTTTCTTTCTTTTTTTTTTTTTTTAAAGCCACCGATTTCTGATGATTTATTAGAGCAGTCCTAGGAAACTAATCTAACCCTTAAAACAATGTCCATAATTTTCTATAACTTTACTTATCTTGACAATTATATTAACAAGGAATGAAAAAGTTTCCTATTTTTCTCAAGTCTTTTGGTAGAAGTGAATCCCCTTTTTAGCAATCAATCTAACTTTCACCAAAAGAAAATAAAACTAGATCTTTATTATTTCATTATTAGTACTTGTAAACTAAAACAAAAGAATGATTAAAATTGACAGTACTACTGCATACCCAAAAGGTCTCCCATAAAGACCCTTAAATATTTCAAAATATGTAATTTAAACATTTAGGAAAAATGTAAAATTCAAGTATATATTCACTTATTCAAAATAAGGATGATGTACATGTCACTATAGATGTATTCCACTTAGTCATTATATATACTTCAGAGTCAAGAGTTTAAGGGAACAGAAGAGAATCAAACCTCTATCAACTTGAACTGATATGCCTCTACTTTAAAAGAGATAAAAGAATCAACAGGGAGAAAACTAATCAGTCAACTCAAAGCAAAAACATTCATACTGCAGCATTCAGGAGCATGTAACAGCAGAGCTAACTGTTTCCATTTGGACTCTTAACTCAAACTGGAAAGCCCCAACTATGTATGGTTCAAAAAGTGTGTATGCTGTGTCATCTTTAAATATGAAAAGACACTCAAATACTACTACATATCTGTGGAAAGCATCAACAAAGAAGGAAGTAAACAAATAAACAAGGAAAACAAGGGAAAAAGTTAATTCCGGATAAAAAAGAATTTAATAGAATTAATCTGTAATGTGTCAAAATGTAACTATATATTAAAAGTCACTGGAGAAGAAAGTATACATACTAAAAAAGAAAAGAATGCAACTGAAATAAAGGAATGAATGAATACATAAGTAAAAAATATTCAGAAGAAGTGTCCTTAAAATGGAAGTTTGGGATCAGATCCAGCCATTTCTTTTGGCTTCTGTGTTATGTGCATGTAACATGAGAGTACATAACACAGTACATAACACAGATGAAATGATGCTGAACCAAACAGGTCACCGTTAGAAATGGTTTCAAAAAAGAAAAAATCAACAGAAGAAAACTGGATGTGAGACCCTTTTTGTCTGCTTATAATTGCCATACAAGGTGTTATTTTAAAAAGATGTAGAGGGTGTCAACAGGCCAAGCCGGCAGGCAGACTACAAACACAGTAACAGAATTTCTCAGAGCCTGTCTCCAAATTCCCTTTCCACACATTGACACAGACATAGATCCAAGGACTATAAAAAGTACACTACAAAAAAAAAAAAAGTGGCTTTTTAAGCCTCTTCTCGATATTATTTAATCATCTGCCTTTTGCTTCAGCACTACTATCTTTTTCAATGCTTGTTACCCCTACCACCTTTTCATTTCTTTTTGTTTTCCTTAATTGCTCTGACTTCTCAATGTGAGAAAATATTGTTTTTTTCCAGATATTTTATATTTCTACATGAAAAATCCTCCATAGTATTTTTAACAAATGGATAAATAGCTACTATGATAACACTATTTAAACCATGAAAAACAATAAGAAGTCAAGTTCTTTCAAAAACATTTTTTGAGTAAAGAAGAATTAATCTCCTAACAGCAAAAACAGCAACATCAAAAGCATGTATACTATAGTGACACTGGGTTGTCACAAATTTGTTGAGATTATTTTAATCACAGGTGAACATTCTTCATTTTATCCACTGTTTTCCCTTATCATCTTCAATTATAAAATAAATCACAACTTCACTTTTCTTGACACTTTCAAGATCACTTTCCTTTGGTTAATTTAAAAGTTAATCTTCCAAATAAACCATGTTTTAAATGACTCCAGGTTATTTGTAATAAAGCTGAACAACCAATTCTAAGTTATTACATATTCTAGTAAAAACTGCTGAGGGACAGATCAGCTTAAATAAAACAGTACAAGAAATCTACCTGCTGTGAGTCATTTGACTTGAAGGCATCCTTAAGAATTTCAACTGCTCTTGATGGATCAACGTATTTCCTTTTGGTACCAACAAGAAGTGCAAATAGATATCTCAGCTCACACATAAAAGGCAAATTCCGATGTTCCTATTGGGGAAAAAAAATAAGAATCTAAAACCTTAGTGAAGATTAGCAAAATCTTTATAAGTAAACAAATATGTTATAGTAACCAAAATTAGACTAACTAATAAAGATCAGGCATAAATCCAGCATTCTCTATCATATTGAAAGAATAGTTTTGTTACCATCTACAGGACTCAAAGGAGCCACGCATGTAACAGCAGAGGGCCTAGGCTAGGCTCATGATTTCAGAATAAATGCCACATATTCATAGCAAATCATGTCATTACCCAGCCAAGAATATCCTCCTCATTCAAGTCTGTTTATTATAATCCTTCCCATTCATCTAGGCCCAGCTGGTGATGGCAAGAGCAACAGTAACAGCCAGCATTCAATGAGTGCTCACTACATGCCAGGTGCTGCTCTGAGTGCTTTTCCCCAATGCAACCAAATAAGCAAAAACCCCTCCTCCTCTATGAAGCCTTTCTAGACGCTTCCAAATTAACAATTCCTGCAAATTCCATATCTACTGAAATGAACACCCTCCACTAAAAATCACCACTGCCACTGCTGTGTGATGATCCTAATTATTACACTACTATTAGAACCCTTATTAGCAATTTAATAAATATTGTTATTCACATTTATTATTTTATATTTTATAAAGTTGCTATACTTATTTTATAACTGAATTACTAAGTATCATGTTTAAAATGATTTAATTGTAATTATAATTTTTGATTTAATTTTTTAACAACTACAGTATTAACCTAATGATTAATTTAAGTCAGACCTTTATATGCGGTTAATATATTACCTTCCTGGCAGTCCTTGAAATCTTACTTTCATTCTATATAAGATTCTAAGCTTCTCAAAGATTTCAATATCTCTTCCACAGTTTGCTGCTATACATAGCAAGCATTTAATTCTCACTGATTAAACCAAACATTCCATGAAAAATAAAAAATATTATCAATCACTAACAATTTTTCTTAAAACTTTTATTTTGTTTATTTTTTTATGTGGTGCTAAGGATTGAACCCAATGCTGCACACATGCTAGGCAGTGCTATACCACTGAACTACAACTGCAGCCCCAGTCACTAACAATTCATTGTTAAACAAGATAAAAGCATGTAATTCACATAAGGTAGTAAAATGAGTCATAATAGATAAGACAAACAATTGTTACAATATTTAGTTCTTGAAGTAGCAATTTTAATACATAAAGCTTGAATATACTACTTAAATCTAAAAGAAAAAATTTCCATGTTTACATAAGAAACATTCCGCAGGGAGGAAGAGCAAGAGGAAAAGGTTAACATTAAACAGAGACATGAGGTGGGAGGGAAAGGGAGAGAAAAGGGAAATAGAATGGAAATGGAAGGAGACCCTCATTGTTATATAAAATTACATATAAGAGGTTTTGAGGGGAATGGGAAAAAAAACCAAGGAGAGAAATGAATTACAGTAGATGGGGTAGAGAGAGAAGATGGGAGGGGAGGGGAAGGGGGATAGTAGAGAATAGGAAAGGTAGCAGAATACAACAGTTACTAATATGGCATTATGTAAAAATGTGGATGTGTAACTGATGTGATTCTGCAATCTGTATTTGAGGTAAAAATGGGAGTTCATACCCACTTGAATCTAATATATGAAATATGATACGTCAAGAGCTTTGTAATGTTTTGAACAACCAATTAAAAAAAAGAAACATTCCAACATTACAAAATTATAGGGGTGTATCTTTGTATAGTTACTGCCTAGAATAATATAATTCATATGGAAATAACTGCTCTCCAAATTGCAACTAAAAAAAAAAAACTTCTAAAAAATAGGTGAAAGGGAATAAAATTCATTCCAAATACTTATCTCTTCATCCAAAAACTACACGCCATTAAATTAATCACAAAGTACACTAATTTTGACATAAAAGTGTTAAGTTCTGAGAAACATAGTTTTTCATTTAAATATAATAAATTTCATCATCAACAATAAAGATTAAGAATTTCTAAATAAGAAAACCAATCCATGGTTTGCCTCTGATACTTGCTAATTTCTCATCAACTACCCTATATAAGTTTGAAAAATAATTTTATTGAATTGAAACAAAATTATTTCCCAAAAAAACCTTCGTTTTCTGACATTAATTTCTTCATCTTTCAGTGATATCTGCATATCTTTTATCATGAAGCATTTACTCAAGACATATCAGTTTTTAAGTGACATTTCTTATCAAGTCATAAAGAAAGCAATGATTTTTGAAAATTTAGAGAAATTCTGTTGAGGAGCTTATCTGGAAAGTAAAATAGCTTTAACATATTGAAACATTTTTGTCTCAGTCAATTCCCACAGCTAGAAAATCCTTCTCAAGTTTCAAAAGGCAAAAATATAAATGAAGTCAAGAGCAGCTAATTTGGTAAATTATGAAAACATCAATAGAAACCATTTGAGCACAATTTTTAGCCTTCGTTTTTTAAAAACAGGTTTCTTAAATCATGACTGATGTATAATACGCTCTGTACATTATCAAGCAGAGAAATCTCCAAACTTCATTCATGTATGTGTTCATGAAATCATCGCCACAATTCCAAGACAGTACACCTGCCTATCCATCACCCTCCAAAATTTCTTCATCCCTGTCATTCACTCATCAGTTCCATGTGAACAGAGTCATTTCTATTTTATAGGAATTTATACACATGAAATTAAATGCTATATATTTGTTTTAGGCATGTTTCTTTCAATCAGTTAATTATTTTGAGCCTCATCCATATGATTGTTTGCATTAGTAATTCAATACATTTTCCTGCTGTGTAGTATTAAATTATGGGGATATATATCACAACTAATTGATCTATCAGCCTCTTCAACTGCTAGAGATACTGATACACACGTTTTTGTGTGGGTATATATTCTTCCGTTTTCCCTTAATGAAAACCTGAAGGGAAATGAGTGGGTTGATATATTCTTCCATTTTCCCTTAATGAAAACCTGAAGGGAAATGAGTGGGTTGTATGGCTGATATCTATCAAACTGTTTTCCATGGAGTTCTAGCTCTGCATTCTATCAACACTTGAATTTGAGCTATCTTATATTTTTGTTTCTTCAAGTGGGTACACAGTGGCATCTGCAGCTTATTCTGTATTTTTTTAATGACTAGCAATGTTGATCATTTATTTCATGTAGTTTTCTACTCTCTGCATATCTTTTTTCTTGAGTTTTTATTCAAATATTTTCCTCAAAAAATTCATCAATAATTATTGGTTTTATAAATGATTTTTCTCCCACTGTGTGGCATGGCATGCCTTTTAATTTTGCATAAATCTTTCAAAACTTAAATTAATTTTGATGCCAATTTATCTTTTTTTTTTCTTTTAGGATAAATGCCTTCTTATTGTTCTACTTAAAAAATCCTTGCTTAATCTAAAGACATTAAAATTTTATCCTGTTTTTGTCAAGAATTTTTTTTTTTTTTAAGTTTTCGGTGGACACAACATCTTTATTTTACTTTTATGTGGTGCTAAGGATCGAACCCAGAGCCCCGCAAATGCCAGGCAAGTGTGCTACCGCTTGAGCCACATCCCCAGCCCCATTGTCAAGAATTTTTATGGTTTAAGTTCTTATTTTTAAGAATACAATATACTCCACTATGGATTATATTAGGGTCATTGAAAATCATTTTATGTATTTTTTTCTCAGTAAATTATTCTGGTAACTTTGACTAACATCTATTTACCTCGTGGGTGGGTCTATTTCCAGGCTTTGTTCTGCTCCACTGATCTTTGTTATTATATTCTGGCCAATGCACAGTATGCTGATAAGTAATCCCTCCAATATTTTTTTAACTTTTATAAATTGTTACTGCTTTTATATATATTGAAATTTCCATACATATCTAGAATCAATCAGCTAATTTCTATAAAAAAGGATGATAGAATTATGATTGAGCTTACATGAAATCTACAGATTAACCTCAGGATAACTGAAACGGTAACAATATTGAATCCTCCAATTCATGAACATGGTATATTCTTTTATTCATTTAATTTTTCTCAATAATATTCTGGCATTTTAAGTTCACAGGTCTTTCCTGTTCATATTTGGGCAAATTTCTCCCTAAGTTTTTCATATTTCACATATCACTGTACAGAAGTATTTTTTAATTTAAATTTCCAATTATATGTTACTGGTACACAAAAATACAAATGATTTTGTATGTTGACCTTGTACTGTTTGACTTTATTTCTTGTCCTTGGTAAGAAAAATATATATTTTCTTTTTTTGTAAAGTACTTAGAATTTTCAACATAAATAATCCAACCATATAGACAGTTTTGATTTCTTACTTCCAATCTCCATGCTTATTTCTTTTCTTATTGTATGGCACTGGTTCAGAATTCCAGTCCAAAAATTTAAATTGAAGACTGACATCTTGATTGTTGGAGAAAAGCATTCAGTTTCACCATAAAGTATTATATTACATGTAGATTTTTTTTGTAATTGGGCTTTGTCAGGAGGAGGAAGTTCTTTTCTTTTTCCTAGTTTTAGGTAGACTGCATCATAAGTAAGTGCTAGCTTTTGTCAAATCCTTTTTCTTCATCTATTGAGAAGATTGTATCATTTTCATTCTTCAGTCTGTTAATATGGTGAATTAAACTGACTGATTTTTAAACAGAAAAACCAATTTTGCATTCTCATATAAACCCCTCTTTCTCATGAGATATTATACTTTACATATACTGCAGGATTCAATTTGCCAAAACTTTGCCACTTTTTTTCCATATTCATGAACAATACTGATTCTCAGTTTTCTCTTCCTAAAATATATTTTTCTACTTTTGATTTCAGGATAATACTAGGCTCCCATAATCTGTTGGGAAGCTTTATCTCTTCTTCAGTTTTCTGTAAAACTTTATAGAGAACTGGTATATCTCTAGTAAGATTATTTAGCTGTTACCAATGATTGAACCTAGGGGTGCTTAATCACTGAGCCACATCCCTGTGCCTTTTTTATTTTGAAACAGGA